GAAATTGATGAGCAGTCGGGTTAGAAGGGATAAAAGGAAGTCCTTCTTCACCCAAAGAGCGATGAACACGTGGAATTCACTGCCACAGGAAGTGGTGGCAGCTACAAGCACGGACGGCTTCAAGAGGGAATTAGATAAGCATCTGGAGCAGAGGTCCATCAGTGGCTATTAGCCACAAGGTATACGTAGGAACTCTGGGGCAGGTGATGCTCTCTATTCTTGGTGCTTGGGGGGGCAACAGTGGGAGGGCTCCTAGTGTCCTGGCCCCACTGGTGGACCTCCTGATGGCACCTGGTATTTCTGGCCACTGTGTGACAAGGAGTGTTGGACTGGATGGGCCTTTAGCCTGATCCAACATTGGCGTCTCTTATGTTCTTATGAAGGCCATCTAGTCCAAGCGCCCAGTCAATGCAGGATCAGCCTAGAGCAGAGGTGTCAAACATGCGGCCCAGGGCCCACGTTACTTCCCCCCCCCCGGTAGGGTTTCTATGGGGCCCGTGGTGGAACTGGCTGCCCTCTGCTGCTTCTTCCGGTCTGCTGCTGCTGTGTCATCGTAGGTTTGCAGCTTACAGATACACACCCGGAAAGTATACTCAAGATTGCAGCAGCGCGAGACATTCTGGTGCAGTCGTTCAGAGCCAGAGGTGCCCGTTATCAGACACTGTTAAATAAACAAAATACTGCAAGCGTGCTGATGTTTTAAGCATGTTTTTATTTTAAGTTTAAAAAAACCCTTTGCGTTTGTGTCCTTTATAACGTTTATCTCTCCGCTCCCTGGCATTAGATTTTATGGCACGCACGGCCTGGCCCAACGAGGTCTCATTTATGTCCGATCTAGCCCTTGTAACAAATGAGTTCGACACCCCTGGCCTAGAACATCCCTGACAAGTGTTTGTCCAGCTGCTGCTTAAAGACTGTCATTCAGTTAACACTATAGATCACACGCAGTTTCTCTGCCAAGTCGTTCTTAAAGGTAAACACTCCCAATTCAGTCATCTGACTCCTTTTGCTTCCAAACAGAGTATCAACACAAGGTCCTTGCTGATTTATATATTTATATTCCAAAATACAGTAAAAGCAGTCGAAGCTGTTCAGGCTATAGACTTTTCATAAATCTGGGAGAGCCGGGTTTGATTCCCCACTCCTATACTTGCACCTGGCTGGATGACCTTGGGCAAGTCATAGTTCTGATAAGAGCTGTCCTTGAAAAAGAGCAGTTTCTGTCAGAGCTCTCTCAGCCCCACCCACCTCACAGGGTGTCTGTTGTGGGGAGGGGAAGGGAAAGGAGTTTGTAAGCGGCTCTGAGACTCCCTTGGGTAGTGAAGGGCGAGGAATAAATCCAATTTCTTCTTCTTCTTCATTGACCAGAGGTCTTAAGCCAAATAAATCCTTGTATCAAGACTGGACTTATCATGAAGCCATGCCTACAGACTCAATTTCCAGCGCTGAAGCTCCTGATTCTGGCACAGCGTCAATCTCTCTAATGAGGCGCTTGGCTCTAATGATAAGTCCAGCCTCGATAAAGGATTTACGAAAAGTCTGTATAGCCGGAACATCTTCGACTGCTCTTACTGTATTTTAGACTATAAATATACCAACCAGCCAGAACCTCGTGTTGATATTTTGTTTGGAAGAAAAAGGAGTCAGACGGCTGAATTGAGAGTGTTTCCCTTTAAGAACCGCTTGGCAGAGAAAACCGCGTGTGATCTCTCGTGTTAACTGAATGACTGTCATTGTTTTTCACTGGAAGTCCTTGCTGCTTAAAGACTGCCAGTGAGGGGGAGCTCACCACCTCCCTAGGCAGCCCATTCCACTCCTGAGCTATTTTTTGTTTTTTGAAAAACATTTTATTGTTTTAACAAATAAAGAGTTATACACAATATTACAACATTTTAACTGGAGATGCTGGGGACTGAACCTGGGACCTTCTGTATGCCAAGCAGAGGCTCTTCCACTGAGCCATGGCCCCTCTTGACAGCTCTCCAGGGTCTCAGGCGGAGGTCTTTCCCATCACCTCCTGCCTGGTCCTTTTAACTGGAGATACCGGGGACTGAACCTGGGACCTTCTGCATGCCAGGCAGAGGCTCTGCCGCTGAGCCACGGGGTAAGAGGACATTTAAGGGTTCCTTGCCTGTGACCTGCTTACTTTTGGGGTAAGAGGACATTTATAGACTCGTGTAATTGTTCTCCTTTAATTATCTATGTACCAATGATGGATGGATGGTATAATGTTTTGTAGATTTAGTCTATCTTAAGCACGCAATAGTTATGGTTTTATCCTCACAACAACCCTACGAGGTAGATTAGACTAAGAGCGTGCAAATGGCCCAAGATCACCCAGCAAGTTTCTGTGGCGGAGTGGGGATTCGAACCTGGGTCTCCCAGAGCCTATTCTGACACTCTACCCACTGTACCATGCTGGCTCCCCACTTACGTTTTTGCGAGGCGGCAGGTCTTAAACATGTTCTTCATGTGGTACAGCTGGATCCTCAAGAGCTGGGAAAAAAATGGAGGAGGCAAGATCTGGGTTTCAAGGATACAGAATATGGGAAGTTCCTCTTGACAAATATGTAATTGTGTATATCTGTTCCTTTGGGGGTACACAGATCCAGAGGAGTTAGCCGTGATAGTCTGTGGCTGCAGCATAGCAAAACGCCCAGTAGCGCCTTTAAGACGAACAAACTTTATTGTAGCATAATCTTTCGAGAAACACAGCTCTCTCCGTCAGCTGACGGAGAGAGCTGTGTTTCTCGAAAGCTTATGCTACAATAAAGTTTGTTAGTCTTAAAGGCGCTACCGGGCTTTTTACTATTTTGCAGTTACAGATGAGGAAAGACATATATGCCTTTGTTCAAAAAGGGAATCTCAAACTCCTCGTCGCAATGGAATGGGCAATTTCAGAAATGTGGAAAACACAACAGGATGGGCAGAAACACAGGAAAAAAGAGAGAACGCAAAACTGGAGAGGGGGAAACATAGTCCAACCCCCTGCACAAGGCAGGAAACTCACAAATACCCCCCCCTCCACACCCCCAGTGACCCCTGTTCCACGCCCAGAAGATGACAAAAAACCTCCAAGATCCCTGGCAAAACCGGCCTGGAGAAAAATGACTTCCTGGCCCCAAAGTGGCAATCAGCACTTCCCTGGGCGTGCGAGAAAGGGCCATGAGAACTAAGCAATGACAGCAAGGCATTCCGAAGGGCTATGAAGGATAAACCAATGAACAAAAGGGAGGTATGCTTAAGACAGGTACAAAACCACGAGTAGGATGAAGGGCACCGAGGAGAGAAGCACAGGGGCTTCAGAGGAGGCGGCCATCAGAAGTGGAGGAGAACATTCTCGGGACAGGAAACCAAACACAGCAGAGGTGGTCAGCGGAGGGTCAGGAAAGGACACGCTTTAGAAGTGCAGTGGAGGGAAGAGCAACCCCCGAGGTTGGATCCAGCTTAAAAATGCCATGCGCGCGCAAGGTGGAGGGGGTTTGTCAAGTTCCCACAGAGCTCTGCAAGGGTAAGGAAGAAGTCTGATACACCTAGTTGAAACTTATAGAATACAAAAACACATGCATTTACTAGCAGGGGTCATTTCGTAGAAAAGGAGGTGCAGGAGCTCATTAGCATAACTCATTTGCATAACTCATTTGCATATGCCACACACCCCTGACATCACCGGAAGTGTGTCAGAAGGTGACACCCACCGCTCAGGCTCCACTGGACTGTTTTGGATTGCTAGCTATTTGGGGGGACGGGGACGTGCAGATCTG